AGTTGAACTAGAAATAAAAAATTTTTTGTTAACTCACCAAATAAAATTAGTTTTTTATATAAAACTACTGCTTACATAATAAATACAAAAAATATTAATAATAAAAAAATGCCTTATTCTAATAAATGTTTCTCTGAAAATTTAGATGAACTTCATCTAAATTTTTCAGAGAAACATTTATTAGAATAAGGCATTTTTTTATTAATATTTTTTGTATTTATTATGTAAGCAGTAGTTTTATATAAAAAACTAATTTTATTTGGTGAGTTAACAAAAAATTTTTTATTTCTAGTTCAACTTTGTAAGACATTTTGTATTTTTTAGAAGCTCTTGATAAAAATTGTAATCACAATTGAAAGCTCGAGTAAAAAATAGTCAACAAATAGCCCCTTTTATTGACTCCAACCCATCAAAAACAGTGTTATATAATATATATATATAATATATATATTATATATATATATTTATATATATTCAATCATCAGTGGAGAAAACAAGTATCCGGAATAGACATAGGCGGTGGTAAATGTCTAAAAACTTTATTTTTCGCAGATGATCAGGTAGTCGTAGCGAATGATAAAGAAGACATGAACTATATGTTTAGAAAGCTTTAGAAAGAATATAAGAAATAGGGCCTCAGTATTAATATGTCAAAGATAGAGTTTCCTTGAATAGGAGATGATAAAGAAGATTCAGAGTTAAAAATTAGAAACACAAAAACATGCAATGAGTATAAATATTCAGGATCATCTAAAGAAGGCACTACCAAAAGAAACATCGAAAACAAAACGCAGTGGGCAATAAAAAAGGTAAACATTTTAAACCCTCTACTATGGTCTAGAGATATTAGACAAGAAACAAAATTGATAATCTATCGAACCTTGGTAGAGCCTATTTGACTTTTGGGGCAGAAGTTTAGAAAATCACGAAAATAATAATAAAAAAATAGAAGTAGCAGAAAGGGATTTTCTAAGGAGAGCGTGCAGTGTATCCAAAAAAGATCATATCAGGAATCGAAGATATTAGAAGAAGGACAAATACTAAATATTTGAGTGTAGACAGAACTGAAACGAGACAACTAGTATAGTATGATCACGTGAAGCGAATGAATGAAGATAGATTGCCAAAGAAAGCTTTAAATTACATACGACAACAAACCAAAGAAGAGGAAGGGAAAGGCCGTCAGTTGCCTGGGAAGATCAAAGAAGACGAATGGATGGACAGAAAATGATGACGGTCGAAATATATATATATATATATATATTATATATATATATATATATATATATATATATTGTCTAATGATTTAGAGCGTTTATCACTCTTACATTCTACATAACGACACCGCTTCGTAGTTTCTTTTTGTACAGGGATCATAATAGTAATATAATAAAAAATTGATTTGATAATTGAGTCAACTTCTTCTTTATTACTTTTTTTTAACAACTAGACTTACGTTGGTATTTTTTATCCTAATTATTATTTATATACACTTTACTGTTATTTATATTACTAATCTAACATAAAATGTTTGTTTACAAAAAGCTTTACCTGCTAAAAAATGGCTGACCAACAGACAAACTCTTGCAATAAACTTAGTTATTGTTTCTATATAAAATTAAACAAATATTAAATATTGGAAATAACAAAAAAAATTATTGATCATTTGGAGATAGTATTGTTCTGAAGCTATTTTCTTGTGGCATTTTAAATTAATTACTAATTAACTGGGAATAAGCCACAATTAAAGATAAAAATACGTTTATTGACGTTTCAGTTTCCACTTCGGAAATCGTTCTCAAAATACAAACATTCTATTTTGTTTGTATTTTGAGAACGATTTCCGAAGTGGAAATTGAAACGTTAATAAACGTATTTTTACCTTTAATTGTATCTTATTCCCAGTTAAATAGTAATTAATTTTGGAGATAGGGTTTTAAATGTATTATCTGTAAAATAAACATCAATATATATTTGGCTTATTTTGTCTGTCTGTCCGTAATGACAACTCCAGCGTTGGCATTACATCATATCTCTGTTGTTGTTTGTCCAATTGGAGCATGTAATGCGTTAAATGAAAGAATATGGGATGAGGATTATACAACTATAGAAAAAACATACAAGGCTAATGACAAAAGGACACTACATTTTATCTTAGTTTATTAATATACGTAAAGAGATATAAGCGCTATCACATGACAGTTTCAATAGGTATTATTTGACTTATATCAGATTTCTGAGAAATCCCATTTTCTAATTCCATTTTTGACGACAAGTTACCATTTACTCGAAATTGCATATTATACCTATTATGTAAGAAGTTTTTTTTTGTAAATGCAAGGCAGTGTACTTTAATTTTTAAATCGTACAGTAATCTGGTGAGACATTGATGCAGGCTATATTAAAGGGTCTTTCAATATCGACTAACATTGCAATGCATTTTTGATTAAGGGAGATTGCTTAATGTATACTGCTTTCTAGGTCTATAACATTGTCTAGAGTTGACTTATTTTCCCGAAAACGACTATTTTGAAATAATATTTTTTCTATCTTTAAGTGTCCTTTAAGGCGACGGTTTACCATTTATTATAATAGTTTGCATGCGGTATAAGTGCAATTGGTCTGTAAGACCCAGGATATATTTTGGAGTATTTGGATTTAATATTGGTATTAAAATAGATTTCCTCCATGGTGTTGGAAAAATGTCTGTTCTGTCCAAATAATTTTAAATATATTAAGTAGATGATTGTCTGCATTCTCAGGTAAATGCTTAACAAAGACCATTGGGATATTAGGATATTGGTTTTTGTATTTTTTTTATGATTAGAATGTTTTATTTTTGTTAGATTTTTGTCAAAATAAAGACATCCTGTGAATAAATAAATAAATAAGGAAATAAATAATATTTAATTGATTATATACGAAAAGATGTTTTTCTCAGTACTTTTTCTGTCTTATATAGTATTTAAATACTTTTATCTGCTTTTTGTTCCAATACAAACATACTCTGTCCCAAATTTTTGTATGTAATTCATATTTATAAGGGTTGTAGGTTATAAGGTGTGACCTACAAGACAGGATAAGAATATTTCTGTGTTTCTTTTTGTCTGGTGCTTTAACTACGGTCTAAATATAACTTGAAGCAACTGTAGTTTAAAATAAAATGCACATCACTGTGAGCAATATAATTACCGAAGTGAACAATAAATTATATCATCCTCATCATCATTCTGTCTTTACAACCCTGCATGAGTCCTAGCCTTCTTAACAATTTCTATCCAGTTGTCCTATCCATCTCCTTTCTTCGCCAACCACGTATTTCCATATTTCTCATGTTTTTATCAATGTTATCAAGAACCTTGTCTGGGTCTTTCTCTTCTTCTCTGGCCAATGGGTCTATAAAGGAGCGTTTCTCTAGCTGAGTCATTTTGTTCCATCCGAATTACATACCGTATCCACCTCAGATGTCCTATCTTAATATGTTTTACGATATCAGGTTCCTGGTATATTCTATAAAGTTCGAAGTTGTATCGTCTTCTCCACACTCCATTGTCATTCACTGCTCCATAGATTCGCCTTAGTACTTTTCTTTCGAAACATCCTAACATGTTTTCATTATTTTTGTTAGAGTCCAGGTCTCTGAACCATATGTTAGGACTGGCGTATTATTGTTTTGTAGAGTTTTATTTTTGTATTTCTCGATATAATTGTGGATTTAAGGAGAGATTGAGCCCAAAATAGCATCTGTTGGCCGTGCAAATTCTGCGGTTTATCTCTGTGTAGTATTATTTTCAGTGTTAAGGAGCGCTCCAGGTATACAAATTCGTTCACTGCTTCGATGACGTCGTTTTCTATAACAAGTGGTCGTAGGATTTGTGGTTGGTGCTTATTTTATATACTTCGTTTTGTTGGTGTTTATTATTAAATCCATTTTTGTAGCTAATTCTTTAATGCTACATATGCCTTCTGTACAGCGTTTTCCGTTCTTCCAACGATATTGATATCATCAGCATAGGCCAGGATTTGCACTGATTTATTATATATTGAACCAGTGGTTGTGATTTGTGATGTACGTATTACTTTTTCCAGAGCCAGATTGAACAGTATACAGGAGAGTAGGTCTCCCTGGCGCAGCCCATTATTTGTTTTAAAGGTTCAGACAGTTCCCCTGAATTCGTATTCTACATTCAACTTTTTTAAGAGTAAGTTTTGTTAAATTTACCAACTGATTTGATATTCCTAGCTCTTTCATTGCTTTGAACATTTCTCTTCTATTCACAAAGTCGTAGGCTGCTTTGTAGTCTATAAATATGTGATGAGTATTAATGCCATATTCCAGTGTTTTTTTTTCAAAATTTGTTTCTGAGTTGTAATCTGATGAATTGTCCATTCACCACCCTGATACCAGCCTGGTACTTGGCTGACTGTTTCCCTTACCTTGTATCTCTTTCCTTTTCCAGGTTTTTTTCTTCTGCCTCTATATTAAGTGCCTGGTTAAAGTATTCCACCGATCTATTCAATACATCTTTCCATGTTGTTAATACGTCGCCACTCTGACTTTTGCATTGTCTTGTAGTTGCCTTGAATTCTTTTCTGTTGATGTTACCTTTCTTCTAGAATGCTTTGAATTCTTGCTCTCTGTTGTGGTTTTCTATATATTTAAGTGTTTCATTTAGGTAGTTTAATTTTTTTCTTTTGTATATAAATATATTGTGTATGAAAATACAATAATTTATAACATTTAAAAAAATAGGTTACAACAACGGTCATATCCGTAGCTTCCAATCTAATGGATAAATGAATTGACAACATCTGGTCACATTATTCTAGGTAATCGGGTGGCAGTATTGTTCGATAATATTTGTGTTATATATTCATCTTACGACTAAACAATACTATCAGACACTAAACACCTATTTTAAATTTAGAGGCACATAACTAATATTCATTAAAGTAAGAACAGGTATACGAATTTTAATACATTACTTCTACTTTTTTAGATTTTACTAACTGTTGGAATTCCATTTGTGCTATGCCAAGGAAGAGGTAGACCCCCAATTCCTTTATCATCTGGTAGCAGTCCTGATGGAAATGCTAGAATTATTAGTGGAGACGCTGATGTTAACACTGATGGATCTTATAAATGGAGGTAACATAATTTAAATAATGTACTTTACATTTTTTTCGATTTATTTATTTTATTCCAATTTTCTACCACAATAAGTGAAGCTTCGATATATTAAACAATGTCTCTTTTATAAAATTGTAGAAAACTAGGAGAAAATAAAAAACGTGCTTATATGTACAATAAATATATTAATTTTGATATAATAGGCATTGAACTGAAAAATTACAAATTAAAATTTACACTTAAATTAATATCTGGTGTAACAACCTACAAAACAGATAATACACAAGGAAAAGAAAATGAGAAACCGCAAATATTACTACGTAAAATGAAATGAACTGAAATAAAGTCAACAAGTAAAATATGCAAACTAAAAACAAACATTGATATATCAGAATGACTTATAAAATATGGCGGTGCAAACCAAAGAAACATACAGGAAAGCTTGAAAGAAAACTAAAAGGATTATAAGGCAAACGCATCATCTATTACGAAAATTATGTTATTAGTCAAATTGAAAATGGTTGACATGTATTAGGCCAGACCTATTTTTGAAACCAAAAACATAGAAACAGGATAAAAATTAAAAAAAAAGTAGTTCTTTATGTTGATAAAGAGTACTTACCGACTGTTGTCTCAAATTCAAATTTACAGAGTTTCCTGAGGTGCCGTATCCATATTCTGATATAGGCCATAAAATTTTTACAATTTCCTGAAACCATTTTTCTATCGGCTGCTGCGCAAAATAATATGCTGGAACCACACAACTACCTAATATTAAATAAATTTATTTTTGTTTATCGTATGGCAATTACAACACATGTAGAACAAAATAACAAACACTAGTAATATAGACATATGATAAACATGATATGATTGCTAGTCTTTGCTTGTATTCTGAGGAGTAATCGCCATTGTTGGTTATCAGGGAACCCAAGCATACAAATCTATCTACCACTTCTAAATTCGCCAGTTAATGTATGTGCGATAGATTATTAGATAAGATAATCCAGGCTGAAAAAGACTGTGAAGCATATTTACGAAAAGTAATCTCAAGACTGATACTAACGAAATATTGGAAATATGGCGAAAATACTGTGGCAAGCTATATAAAAATAACGAGGTGCCAGCAGAAAATCAATGGCCCTCTGACTACCCTAGAGAATACAACATCTTACTTGTTGTAGTCAAAGATTCAATAAAATCGCTCAAGAGAAATAAATCCCTAGGCATTGATTTAATACCAGTTCAAATACTACAGTTTTTCTTCTTCTTTGAGTGCCTCTCCTATCGGAGATTGGATATCATTATAGCGATTCTAATTTTTTAACTGATATTTTGAATAATTCGTTTAGTGGTACAGCCAAACCACTCGCTTAAATTTCTCATGCAGGAAATTCTTCTACGGCCTGGATTTCTGCGTCCTTGGATTTTTCCTTGCATTATATTTTGTAGGAACATGTACTTTTGTCCTCTCATCAGGTGGCCTAAGTATTCAAGTTTTCCACTAGGAAACTAAGTTCCTGTAGCTGGCTGTATACCATATATTACAAAAAATTTATTTCAAATCCTTTATAAAAGGTATATAATAAAATGCCCAAACGGGCTATCACAAATATGTTACAAAACGTTTTCGGATTGTTAAATCCATCATCAGTGTAAACGAGGTATACATGCTATGAGCCACCAAAATATATGGGTCAAAACCCTTTAAATGATATTAATTTACAGTTGTTTTACATTATATGTGGTTACAAATTATGATGTTTAAGTTACCGTTGGAATTGGTAACATGGCGACGTATGACCCTACATAGGTAAAATGGTCCTGAGACGAAGTGTATTCGAGGACCTGTTGATAACAACTCAATTGTTGTTACTTAACTAGAACAGAAGAAGGTTCTTATGAAACATTGATCAAAAGATTTTTTTCACTTTTTGGGCGATCTCCTCTCCAAATATTTTGTTTGAGACCTGCATTTTTATAATTCGCATTTTCGTAGTTAAATAATTAGGGATACTTAGACACTAGATCAATCACGTTCTTCGTTTTACTCATGACTGCTAACGGCAGTACTGTATTTGTTCAAGTGTGTCGTCTGCCGTCGGCGGCACAGCCACTGACGTTCTGCCGTGCAGCAGTTGCAGTCAGATGTCGGAATCAGTCTCATACCAATTATTAGCGCAATGTAATGTACTTATTTATCTGCTTGATTGTAATATATTTGTGTGTATTGATTGTACGTATTATAGCGGTCTTGTATCGTACTGGTATAGTACTACATAGTCTTACTTCTTCTTCTTCTTCTAGTTCCATGACCGTTATCGATCGTTGGATATCATGTTGGCTACCATATTCGCTATCGTGCCTTATCGACAGCAGCTCTAAATAACGGTGTAGTTGATTTTCCATACCATTGCCTTCGATTTTTCAGCCATGATGTTCTTCTTCTACCAGGAGCACGATTACCTTGGATCTTTGCCTGAATGATCAGATGTAAAAGATCATATTTTTCAGAGTGTCTCATAATGTGACCGAAGTATTCCAGCTTGCGTTTCTTTATTATATTGACGAGTTGTGTTGTTTGGTTGAGCCGTCCAAGGACCTCCTCATTTCTAAATCTGTCGACCCAGCTTATTTTCAGTAGTCGTCTGTACACCCACATCTCAAAGGCTGTCAAGCGTTTAAGGATCCTCAGTTAAAGTCCACGCTTCCACTCCATACAGCAGGACAGGAAAGATGTAGCAAGATGTCATTCGAACTCTAAGGTCAATGCTAAGATCGTAACTGCAAAGTACGTTTTCTCATTTTTACAAAGGCAGCTCGAGCTTATTCTATTAGGCTTTTAATTTCTATGGTTGGATCCCAGCTCTCATTGATATTACTGCCGAGATACACGAGTTTCTTTACTCTGTTCAGTATGGCATCTCCGACTTTTATACCGTCTTCCTGTATATAATTTTGTTTGCTAACTATCACATATTTAGTTTTCTTAATGTTTAGTTTTAATCCATACTGATCATAAGTCTGTTTTATTTTGTTCATTAGATTTTGAAGGTCTTCTCCGCAATTAGCAAGCACTAAGGTATCGTCGGCATATCTAATATTGTTGACGGTTACTCCATTCACAATAATACCTTCGGTTGTCTCCATTAAGGCTTCCTTAAATATTTCCTCCGAATATAAGTTAAAAAGTAAAGGCGACAATATACAGCCTTGTCTCACTCCTCTTTTTATATTTATTTCATTTCATAGTCTTACTGCCTGCAGGCCATCGAAAAGTGTATCATATTGCACTCGAATTATTGTCGTCTCGAATTTAATGAAACAATCACAGATCCACGTAGAGGAATTGTACTTTTTTATTTACGTTAATTTCTAATAATATTAACCTTTCGATAATATAATGGATATTTTTTTGTAGCTTCCAATCAGATAACGGCATTTCGGCGCAAGAAATAGGTCAAACCAAAAACGCAAACTCACAAGAGCCCATAGAAGAAGCCCAAGGAAATTTCCAGTACACTGCTCCAGATGGTTCTCCCATTCAAGTTTCGTATATTGCGAATGAAAATGGATTCCAACCTAATGGTGCTCACCTGCCCGTAGCTCCTCCAATACCTATAGAAATTCTTAGATCGCTGGAGTGGAATGCGGCGCATCCAGAAGAAGACGATGATGGATCGGGTAAACCAAGGAGACCTTGATTTTTAAATTAGTATGTATTTTAATAAACAGTGAAGAGTAATATAAAATATTTAGAATGTGATATTTTTAATAAAAGCAATAAAAACACTGTAAGAATTCATTAGTTTACTTTTGTACGTTATTTTGTATATAATAGACAAAGTGAGAAATGAACAACTTAAATATAAATAATTAATTGTGTAGTAATTTTCTATAGTATGTTATTGGTTGTTAAAAAAAAGTTATATTTGTATATCTCTTTATTCATAATAAATATTTAGGATAAAATGCTAAACTACAAAAGGTGTTCCGATATTAATTTTGTTATATACAATGGTTAATTCTGACTTTATAATTTTTTATTTAACACGTTGGCTGCCATGTTGGTCCTAAAGGACCAGCATTATTGCTTCCTTAGTAGGCCGTGCATACAAGTTTTTAGATTTTTTTTTATGGTTCAGATATTCAGTATGCTCTGTAATATAGCAAAAAGCATAAATGTAGGAGACGTTTCTGTTAGAGGCATGATTACGAAGGGGTGTTCGCAGGGAGGGATGCTATTACATCTCCTCTGGAATATAGTTTTAGACACCCTGGTTAACCAACTAGCAGCAACGGTTTCTACACAATAGCCTATGCAGGCACTATTGCTGTCCTGCAAAGCGGTAAGTTTGATAACACACACTATGTGAGAGATTACAAGTTGCTCTCCGACTAATAGAAACATCGTGCAAAGAACACTCACTATTTATAAATCCTAAGAAGGCAGAGATGGTCCTCTTCAATAAAAAAGGAAAATTACGGGCTTAATACCTCTAAGGATTCTAAACTACCGTCTAAACTTTTCTGATGACGTGAAGTACCTTGGTATTACCTTTGACAGGAAGTTTATTGTTTGTGTTTAAATGACTGCGGACACTAAATCCATTCACCAAAATGGAACTTAGACTTAGATGGTAGAGCTAGAAGAGCATATATTTCTCATGAGCAATGTCGACCAACGGTTGGACGCACCTAGAGCCTTTCGCCCAGGGTCATCTATTGGGTATCCGCTGCTGTAATTGGGCTAATGCTAACTAACGAAGCTATTGGTTGGGTACCAAAAGTGCTGCAGGCAACAGCGATAAACAAACTAAACCATATTCAGCGTATGGCTTGCATAAATATAACAGGTGTCATGAAAACAATACTAACTGCTGCAATGGAGTTGGTCATTGGCATCACGCCTCTAGACATATATGTCAAAGAGGTAGCTCTGGTGACAATGATGTGACTGCGCTTAGCTAGTGCAAACCTTGATGTCGGAATGAGACAATTAAGAACTCGTTTCTGTCTGGGAGAGCTCGATGCTCTATCTCTGCTACAGCGACTCATACAGTTTGTCTTTGTCAAACCCTACAAACTCGATACAAGAGAGTAAGACTTCTTCTTCTTCTTATTCTTCCTTTTTGTATATATGCTTTAAAGCCTATTTCTTCTTCAATAATAGCCTCCTAAATTGTTTAAATTGTCGCACCATGTGTGTTTCTTGGTGCGAATAATTTATACACACAACATTCAACTAATTGAACAGATTTTCAACATAAGGTTGAACTAAATTGTGTTTGTTTCACTCCTGTTTTCGTTTTATCACCCATTCATTGATATCTTTTACATTGCACGTTTTTTGCAAACTTTTCCGTGATATTCGTTGTATCTACATCAAGTACTTTCATCTTTGTTGTTTCTAGTAGTCGTCTGGTTTTAGATGTGTCAGGTCTCGTCTCCGCCGTGTATGTTAATATAGGTCTAATTGCTGCTTTATAGATTTTGGTTTTTGTATTTTGTCTTAGGTGTTTGTTCTTTCAGATTGTGTTTTTAAGAGATCCCGCCGCTTTACTTTCTGTTAAGCTTTGTTGTCGTACTTCTTTTTCAACATCTCCGTAACTAGTTATATCTATTCCCAGATATCTAAACCTTGCTTCCTGCTTTATTATTTTTCCATCAATTTCGATTTTACATCGTAGTGGGTATTTAGATGTTGTCATACATTTGGTTTTTTTCTGCTGATATTATCATATTGTATTTCTTGGCTGTTGTATTGAAGACGTGTGTTAATCTTTGGAGCTCGTTTTCTGTCTCGGCGATTAATGCGCGTCGTCTGCATAACATAATATTTGGATTTGTTTGTTCCCTATTCTGTAGTCATGACCTTTACGTACTGCTTATATTATTTCGTCCATTATTATATTAAAGAGAAGTGGAGTTAACGAGTCACCCTGTCTGACTCCGCTTTGTACTGGTATGCACTGTGTTAGTTTTCCATTTATTTTTGCCTGTATTCGATTATGGAAGTAGATGTTTTCGATGGTTTGTATAATATTATTGGTATGTTTCTTTTATACAGTACGTGTAAGACGTCTTCGATTTTAATGCGATCGAAAGCCTTTGTCAGATCTATAAAACATAGATATGCTGGTTTATTGTACTCGATGGCCTTTTCTGTGGTTTGTCTCCGCACAAATATGGCGTCAACGCAGGATCTTCCGGATCTGAATCCTTATTTTTCATCTGGTAAAGTTGTTAGTTTACTGATTTTGTTGGTTAGGACTTTTGTGATAAGCTTAAGTGCTGTGTTCAGTAGATTTATACTTCTATAATTGTTGGGGTCATCTTTATCTTCTTTCTTGAACATTGGTATCGTTATGCTGTTTCTCAATGAGTCTGGTATCTTACAGTGCAATATTAGCTTTTGTGTAAGATTTGTTATCTGTAGGGTTATACTTTCGTCTCCATATTTTAGAAGCTCGTTGGTTATTCTATCTGGTTCTGGTGACTTTCTATTTTTGAGTGAATTTATAGCCATTTTTACTTTCTGAAAACCTATTTCTATTTCGTGTCTTAATGCAGGTACGTTATTGTGTTAATTATTATTCTCCTGTGCTTTAAATAGTTTCGTCAGGTATCTTTCCCATTCTTCTTAGAATTAAGGGTTCTTCATCAGGTATTTTATCCAGAATGGTTTGCAATTGTTCGTAGAATGCCTCTCGTTCGTCTTTAGGTTTTATGGACAAGTATACCTACGCCTGCTTGTGCTAGTTCTTCTTTCTTCACTTTATTGTATGCTAAAAAATATTGGTTAAAGTCGCTTTGGCCTTTACATTTCTTCTTGATTTCTTGGATTGCACAAATGTCTATGTGTTTGTTTATCAGTTCTTCTATTATCTCTTGGTCTTTGTTGTTAAAAGAAGTAATGTTTCATGTTGCTAATCTGATTGTGTGCTTATTTTCCTTCTCGTATTCCTTTTCTTTGCGTGGTTCGTCATCTAAGGTTCCGTCTGGTTCCGAGGATTTATATCGGTTCTTTGCCTTGTTTTCTTTTACAATGATGTTTTTCTTTTACAAATAACAACAATGATGGTTGATACTGCTATATTAATTTACTTTACTTTAACAATTTTAAATAACGTTGGCTTTTGTCTTAAGTAGACGCATACAGTTATATTGACTGCTCTTTTACAAAGTCCATCCTAACTTGTCAACATTATCATTCCAATCAGTTGCTTCCATACAGTCCTCGTAGACACATCGTTTCAGGACTAGCAACTCTAACGTGGAGTCATATGTCGCCATGTTACCTTATCCAACGGTAGCTTTAACATCTTAACATAATATAAGAAATACTGTAAACCAAGTGTAACCAATTATTTGTTAACGGGTTTTTACCCATATATTTAGTGGCTACATTCATGTACTACTAGTAAGTATTAACCATACTTTGCATTAACCTTAGTCAACATTTCAATCTCATGTTCTTTTTAATTAAGTGGTTATATATTTTCTAGGACACTGATGATGGAATATGGATTCCAAAAACGTTTTGTATAATTAGCCCTTTAGGGTTTTTAAATATATATATATATATATATATATATATTATATATATATTATATATATATATATATATATATACCCGGTTTTTTTTTTAGGCGTTACGCCTGTCCGGTAGGGATCTATGGAGGAGTATCACCAAGCCACAAGCCCTTATCTCTTGCCGTACTGCTCCACCATAGGCCGATCAGATCCCAGCATATCCTAGTCTAAGCCGCAGATTCATCTAGAATTTTAAACTGCTGCGTTAGACTTTTTGTTTTCTGTACACCGAGCTTGGGCTCGATCCCACATCCACTAAACCATTCGACAGTAAAGCGAATGAGAGGCAGCCGCACAGCCCGCTGAGCTATCTGACCGACTTTTTAAATATATACCTTTTATAAAGGTTTTTTAATAAAATTTTTTTTAAATTCGTAAAATAGTTTCGAAACACAATTCAGATTTCCGCTTTAATCTGTGCTTTCTAAAAATTGCAAAGCAAAACAGACGTTGATGAAGGTGTTAAAAGAGACATGGGGAATCTAAAATTTGCATTCCACGACATGTCTTTTCAACTAAGCAGAAATCCTTAGCGAATTGGTTTCTTGTACTCGTACAGAGTAGATCCGAATAAAATGAAAAAGACAGCAAATATTTGATTTCACGCAAACAGCGCCTATGTATCTGTTGATACGTATTTCGACCTAATAGGTCTCATCAGAACAGTTATTCATAGGTGTTCTCAACGTGAAAGATCAATATTTTCTGTCTTTTAAGAAGCAACACTAAAATGGCTTCGATATGGACGCAATAGCGACATCTGATAATAAATCCGTAAATAGTTTCGAAACACAATTCAGATTTCGCTTTAATCTATTGCGTCCATATCGAAGCCATTTTAGTGTTGCTTCTTAAAAGACAGAAAATATTGATCTTTCACGTTGAGAAAACCTATGAATAACTGTTCTGATGAGACCTATTAGGTCGAAATACGTATCAACAGATACAAAGGCGCTGTTTGCGTGAAATCAAATATTTGCTGTCTTTTTTATAAAATTTTTTTTTATAAAATTTTTTTATTAAAAAATACCTACAGCTATTCTATTTCAAATAATTCAACAACAGTATGATGCAATTTCACAAACTGTTTGTTAATATTATTGGATTATAAATTAGCAGTGTGGCACCAAAAAAATTGTGCATAAGCTACGGTGAACTTCCCACGTTGTCCCGACGGGACTAACAAATATTTGATATGGGTGCTC